CAACATGAAACAGATCAGCAGCAACATGAAACAGATCAGCAGCAACATGTGATTTTTCACAGTGATTATTCTGGTTAGAGATTTATGAGTCTAACAGCCTCAGGGTAGAAGCTGTTCCTCAGTCTAGTGGTTCTACACTTAATGCTCCTTAACCTCCTTCCTGAGGGGAGTGGGGCAAAAAGTGTGTGTGCTGGGTGAGTGTGGTCCTTCATGATGCAGGTGGTCCTCTTCCTGCATCTGGAGGTGTAGATGTCTGTGATGGTGGGGAGGCTGACTCCAACATCTTCTGTGCAGCCTTCACCACTCTCTGCAAAGCTTTTCTTTCTGCAGCTGTGCAGCCTCCATGCCACACGTTGATGCTGGAGCACAGGATGTTCTCCACTGCACACCTGTAGAAGGAGGTGAGGACTGAGCTTCCAGACCAGCTCGTCTCAGCCGTCTGAGGAAGTAGAGTCTCTGATGAGCTTTCTTGATCAGGCTGGTGGTGTTGTTGCTCCAGCTGAGGTTGTTGTTCAGGTGCACACCCAAGTACTTGTAGCTGGAGACCACTTCCACTGCAGATCCTCTTATGTTCAGGGGGGTGTAGATGTTTTTGTTCCTTCTGAAGTCCACAATCATCTCCTTTGTCTTCTTCACATTGATGTGAAGGTTATTCTCTCTGCACCAGCTCTCCAGGTGTTCCACCTCCTGCCTGTAGCTGGACTCATCATTGTTTGTGATGCATCCCACCACCGCTGTATCATCTGCAAACTTTACAATGTGACAGCCTGGATGGGTAGCTGCACAATCATACGTGAGCAGAGTAAACAGGAGGGGGCTCAACACACAGCCCTGAGGAGAGCCAGTGCTGAGGGTTATGGTGGAGGAGGAGAGGTTGTGGATCCTCACTAACTGTGGTCTGTTTGTTAAAAAGTCTAGTACCCAGTTGCAGATGGAGGGGCTTAGTCCTAGTGTGGATAGTTTGTCCATCAGGGTTTGGGGGATCATGGTGTTGAAGGTGGATGTGAAGTCCACAAAGAACATACGGACGTAAGAGTTCTTCTGCTCCAGGTGGTTGAGTGCAGTGTGGACCACAGAGGAGATGGTGTCCTCTGTTGATCGGTTCTCACGGTATGCATACTGATGAGGGTCCTCGTTGATGTTGATGTTTGTTTTGATGTGAGTCATGACCAGTTTTTCGAAGCATTTAGCGACTATCGGGGTGAGGGCCACTGGCCGATAGTCATACAGACCAGTCACTGTAGAGCTTTTTGGGACTGGGATGATGGTGGCAGTCTTCAGGCAGGTGGGAACTGTCTCCAGGGTAAGTGAGGTGTTAAAGATGTCTGCCAGCACCTCACAGAGCTGATCAGCACATTCCTTCAACACTTTTCCGGGGATGTTGTCTGGGCCAGTTGCTTTGTGTGGATTAATCCTCCTGAAGGTACTCCTTACTTCTGCTGAGGTCACGCTGAGATGCTCTTCATCTGGTGGCGAGGTGAGTCTGGTGCTGGGTGGTCTGTTCGGGTCTTCAAAGCGTGCATAGAACTTGTTGAGGGCATCAGGCAGAGATGGGTCTTTGGGACATTGTTTGCTCCTTCCTTTATAATCTGTTATGCACTTAATGCCCCTCCACATGCTCCGAGGGTCTTGTGAGATGAATTGACCCTCAATCCTCTTTGCATATGTGGCCTTGGCCCTCTTAATACCAGCAACCAGCTCTTTTCTTGTCCTACTCAGCTCCTCTGAGCTTCCAGACCTGAAGGCAGTGTTCCTGGCTTCCAGCAGGGTACGCACCTCTGCATTCAGCCAAGGTTTTCTGTTTGGGTAGCTTTTAACATTTCTGATAGTGGAGACGGTGTCAGTACATGTACTAATGTAACCCAGAACTGAGGATGTGTATTGGTCAAGATCAAGCGAACCTCCATTTTCAGCAGCTTCTCTGAAAACCTGCCAGTCTGTTCGGTCAAAACAATCTCTCAGTATGGGGCCACTGTCCTGGATCCAGCATTTAACTTTCTTTGGTACCGGTCTGGAGCGTCTCAGCGGGGGCATGTAAGCAGGAGCCAGGAAGTTCACATTGAGATAAACTTTCAGGTGACCTTGTTCTTGTTTTCCAACAAAGGATCCTATATTTTATGGTGCTCTGTGCTTGAAGGATCCAAATTCTCAGGTGTAGGATTCCAATGATTTTTCTCTACAGGTTCCTGAGTTCTGGGTGGCGCCAATGAGCAGCAACTGTGGTCCATTTCCTCTGACGAGCCCCAGGGGTAAGAGTCTGTGGAAGTGTTCCTTTCTCTGCTGAAGCGCTGGATACCAATCGGACCTGCCTCCCTGAGATCAAATCCTAGATTACTTGTTTTTTCATTATGTCTCCATGCAGGGGCCGAGATGGGGTAGAGGCAGGGCAGCCGACTCGGGACCTGAAAGTCCCAGGCTCGATCCCCAGTCATTGTACATCTCGTGGTGTCTCTGAGCAGGACACCATATCCCCAATTCTCCCCAGGTGCGATGGGTTAAATGCAGAGAGCCAATTTCACCATTGTATGAGAACGTACAATGACGACAACACATTATTATTATGACGAGCCCTACACCTCCTGCCTGCCTACAAATAACCCACCACCACCACCCTGACCCCTTCTCAGCACTGACCATTTGTACCTGGAATCCTCCACCTTCCTCTCAATGCAGTGAAACCTCCCAGAAAGCCCTTCTCCCAGTGCCGCCTGTAAATATTACAACACTGTAAATAAATCCATGTACCTACGATGAGTTTGTGTTTCACCTCAGTCCATCTGCTCTGGGCTAGCTACGTCCACTGTGATACCAGCGTTCCACAATCTTCCAGTTCTAAATGCTTATACCTAAATGTCAGTTGTTGATTGGTTTCAAAATAAAAAAATGAGCAATAATACTGTCCTGGGCTTAGGGAATGTTGGGAAACACACAACTGGACCTTTGTCTCTGTGGCACTGTGTGCACAACATGGAAAACAAATGTTAAACATTTCCATCCATCCATCCAATATCTTTACCCACTTATTCCATTTTGGGTCACGGGGGTCGCTGGTGCCCATGTCCAGCAATAATGTTAAACATTTGTCCAACAAAATGCATTCAGTGTTTTTTAAACACTTGGCTCTGACTCAGTGTTCGGAGTTGTAGCTAGCTTCAATTAGTGAAGCTAGGTCCTGATTTTGATTTATCACACAACCCACATGCACAGCTCTGGTGTCACACTGACTCAGAAAGGTTGAAGAACAGCAAACGGTTCTTCAGCTGTCAGATTACTTTAATAATCAGTGTTAACTAGTTGTGAGTAAAGCAAACGTATCGAGTACCTCCACAAGACAAAGTGACCTGTGGTCCACGGAGTGTTGGCGTCAATAGTATCAGTCTTTACTTTCTCGATGGAACATGATGTGAGACGCATCTCGGCTGTGTTGCCACTGATGGAAACTAGCCGGCAGTTCTGCGAGACGATGGTGGGAGTTTGGAGGAGGGATGAGACGTATCAGACTCCACCATCTGCTGTGCTGTAAATATTTTCACCCTGAAGAAATTCAGTTGGATCTCCGTTGCAATGAAGGCTCAAAAAGCACATTTGAAAGGAATTTGTTTTACAAATGTGTCTCATCTTGAGATTCTGGTTTGATTCCAGTGCTCTGAATGCTTTCACTGCAGCTTTGACTGTTGACCCGTTGATTTCTCCCATAAAAAATGTGCACGAGCCATAAAATGGACTAGTGCTCTGGTATTTCTGCTGTCTCAAACGTCCGTCAGTGAACTTTGCTACCACGGTGCATTTTATGGCTTTCTCTTTTAACTCCTGCCACCAAACAAACTGAAACAGGAAGATGCATTTCTTTAAAGGAAGTGCTTTACGGAGAAGTCTGACTTTAATACAGCGGCAAAATTAGACAGGCTTAACAATGTTTCCACACGTGTGAACGGGAGGCAGGTCAAAAGAATGTCAAAACTTTTTGGTGAACTCCTTTAAAGACTAAGAGAACAGAAATGGAAAGAGGAAAACCAAAAGTTGTCTATTTTACCATAGCATTAATACTTTAACTATAACTGCAACTGTTTAAGAAAAAACCCTGTTAAAACTCATTACTGGTGTTTGAAGTTGCTCCACAAGCTTAGAAAACTATTGTGACCTGAAACGACGAAACAAACGGAGAACAATGTAAGTTAAACTGAAGGACGAA